AATAAATTATTCAATATGCAAAACTAATAATATGCCAACACAAATATTAAATGGGCCCATGTAAATAAGAATTGGATAGCAAAAAACGTAAAAAGTCATGATAAATGATAAAATAGTAACAATAGTTAGGGAATGAATACTACGTGTAAGCTCACTCATGGGTAATCACCTCGATTAGATTACAGTTCATTGTCAAATGTTTCTTGAGCACGTTTGGCGTTTACGACGTGAAGTGAAATGTGAATTCAATAGGATTATTAAGAATTAATTCAGGTCAACAATCTTACGTAATGAAGAGTGACTCAAATGAATACTACAAGACAATCACGACACAGGATATAGGCTTTTTTAGGACTGAAATCATCTATTCGTCGTATCGATTTTGACCGGCTTGCCTCAAGGCGATCATTTCATATCTGGTGTACATCAGGTCGGTGGTCTGCATGTAAGCTAGCTTAAGTTAATAGCACACTTGTTTTCAGAAGTCCAGCATATTTCAAAAAGCACCAAATGACATGCAGTCATGTGTATCATGTTTTTGTCCAGCTTTCAGTCAAAAAAACCATGTTCCGCTGTTTACTTGTTAGCCTATGACTAGCAAAGAGAGGTTCGTTTAATTCACCCTTTCGTCACAGCCCTAAATTATCTCCATCTACTAAATAGCAACACAGAGTCAAGTACTTCTGACAGTATTTCGGCTGACCTAATCGATGCTTCTTGTAGATAATCCTATCTCAAAAGTTCTTAACATGGAGTGAATTAGAAAATGCCTTAAAATTTTTAAACGTGTGTGGATAGCATAATTGCTAAATGCTGATAACATTTTCTCACTACGCCCACGTACAAATTAAAAAGATCTCTATCGATTGGCGTAAATATTTATTTATCGTCCTCAGATGCACTTCGCGTGTGAATAGAGAACCCTAAGAAACTGCTATTTTTAATAAACTGTAAGATTGACAAATTATAGTTAACAGCACATGTTTCATAGCTGTGAGTTCATCCTTCAAGTGGCCTTTCGTAGTTGAGTGCATGCCATAAGGTCATTTGAGATGATTCAATCATCCGAGTACAAAACATTTATTGTTTGAGATCCATGGTCTAAGCATTTTTCAATTGTGGTAATAAAACTTGAGATCCACACCGCTATTCTCTTCCTAGTCAAATCAAATACTAAAGGTAGTTCAGTAGGAATCACGCAAGAAATCGCCGTAGTTGATGTGAAGAACATGTACTTCAAAACTGCTCCGAGTAAGTGTGTAGTATATTATTCGCAAGATCATCTCACTCTTTCGATGTATTCAGTCTAATACGTAGGAACGTAGTGTTACAGGAGTTTTATTCGGTAAACCGGCGGCAAGGAAGTTAAGGCGCTGAACCATTTATCTCGTTTGATCGCACCTGGTGTCAGTATGGCATTAAAAGTGTGGGATAAGAGGTGTTGAGTTGGCCGACGTGTAACTGTGGATCTGGTAGGTCAGACTATGAAGAGCACCTAACAATGACCCAAACCTCTATATATGTATCACTATAACCATGTCCTACATGTTAGTATCGTTCAACAATAGATAAGTAGAGATGCATTTAAACAAACTGCTATAAGCCCTACTAGCCCACTGAAGGTCGCCGGCTGTGGGTGTATAATTCACTTGTTTGTGCGAGGTTCGCTTGTGTTTCCTCTGTCATTGTTGTTTTTTGCAGACCTGTACTAAGTATGACAGGCGTGGTGAAGCGGTCAGTTTAGTGGGGTTCACTTGACATCATATGATTTTGGTAGGAGAGTGTCAAGGGAGATGTGGTGCTGAACCAATTATATTGTTTGAAAATGCCAACATTTTGCTTTCTAACACTAGTATCGCACTATGGTGACCTCGCCCATGGTCGCCATCTAGAGTCAGAGAGAATACACAAAGAAAGTAAGAAGACATTCGTTTTTATTGTCGTTGTTTAAACAGTTGTCATCAACATCGTGACAATATTGCTTCGCCGTTTAGTGAAAATGCCGTGATTGTTAAATACTCAGGTTTCCGTGCTTTTGTAGAGTGTACTTCGTTCTCCGTAATGACGTCGATATTCCACACTCAACAACTGGAGTCTGGGGAGTGAATTCGACGGCACTTCATTTTGACGCCGATAAAATTGGGCGTTGATGACATCGACGGGCTCAACACTTTCGCTGAAACTGTATCTGACTGCAGTCAGATGTTATGACGAATGCTATTGAAATGTGCATAACAACGATCTTTGTTAGTGAATTACGGGATCGAATAAGCGAAATACGAGAATGGATTTTGAATACGTAATTTCATACAATCGTTGATCCAGAGGGACGATCAGAAGAGCGAAGCGAGGAAAACAAAGAGGAGAGATCGATGCGAAAGAAAATAGCGCGTGGTACTGCATCAGCCACTACAAGTATGATTTTCAGCTCGCTTGCGACATTAATAAGGAAAAGGTAGCCTGTTACTACACTTGTTTAGGTGGTAGCAAACATTGTTCCAGTTTGTCATAACGGACAATTAGGAGTGAACGTCTTGTTATGTTTGCATGACAAGAAAAGAAGTGGCCGTTAAAGTTATACGATGCGCATTAGGTATCGAGGGAATTGTGATGAATCGTGCTCGAGAACATATAATGAATTACAACCTAGCTCGTAGGCATGCTGTTATGACACTCTGTAGTTTACATGTTTGCCGGTCATTTTGTAAAAGGGTGAATACAATTTGATATGCAGTCTAACACTTGTAGTCACGAGACCCGTTTGTAAGAGCTTCCTTGTGTTGGCTGGTAAGCTATAAATTATTCTTACTACAATACTTTAGCTACTATTTACGTGTCATCTCATTTATGGGATCAGATAGCCTGAAGTGTCTCACTAGATACTGATTGGACCGTTAAGAAATATAGACGGACGCGCATAGCGCATCCCTCCTTTCTCGTTCTTCTAGTGGTTGACTGGATTATGAAGACCTCCACATCTCAGGAGGAGAATGGAATACAATACACAGATTGGATACAAATAGACAATTTGGACATAACATATGACTTAGTTGTGCTATCCCATACACAGCAATAAATGCAGGCAAAGACAACAGGTGTAGAAGAAGCCTCTGCAGCAGCACGCCTCAACATACACAAGGGAAAAACCAAGATCCTCAACTACAACATGGAGAACACCGACCCAATCACACTTGATGGAGAAACTGTGGGAGAGGTGGAATCTTTCACGTACCTACGTGGCCGGCATCATCGATGAACAAGGAGGATCCGATGAAGACGTAAGGGAAGGGATTGGAAAAGCAAGGACAAGGTTCCTACTGTCGAAGAACATGTGGAACTCAAAACAACTGTCAATCAATATCAAAGTTGGAATCTTCAATACGAACATCAAGACAGTCCTATTGTACGGAGCTGAAACTTGGAGAACCATCACACCCACCGTCAGAAAAGCACAAGTATTTCTGCACAGTTGTCTAAGCAAGATATTCCATACCTGTTGACCGGATACTATCAGCAACAATCTACCGTATCAAAGAACGAACCAAAGTCCAGCTGAAGAGGAAACTAGATAAAAGTCGATGGAGGTGGATAGGATATACATTTTGGGAATCACCAGACTGCATCACGAGGCAAGCATTAACTTGGAGTCCTGAATGGAAAAAGTAAAGAGGAAGACCAAAGAGCGCATTGCGTCGAGAATTAGAAGCAGACATAAAGAGAACGGAATACCAACTTGAAAGGACTTTCGAGAACAGAGTTTGATGGAGAATCCTGGTGGGTGACCTATGCTCTTCCATGAGAGGTAGCAGATTTATGTAAGTAAGCTATTAAATAAGGTCATTAGGATGTTACGCTGTTTCTTCGAACATCCTCAGTCGAAAATATTTGTTCAACCTGCTCAGAACCTAACGGGAACTGGTTACCATTGCAAAAACTGTAAGCAATCCTCATTTTCATTATTTATTTCAGTGTCGGCTGATGGAAGCCGGATTTAATTTTCATGAAACTCATTAACTGAAATTATGGATGACGTCAGAGTTTGTTCTGAGTTTCCCCATTAACGTATTTCATCAAGAAGTATCCAGAAGTTTGCATCGCCTGTGCTGTTCTGTTATTGTCCAATAATGACTTATCAAAATGCTCTCATGCTCAGACTCCAGGTTGTCTCAAAATGTGGAGGTAGATGCAAGGGTAAATGAGTTTCTCTCTGAGAGACTCTAATGGATGGATGTTTGGGTGATTTCCTAATACCGGTAAGTTTCCTATCTTAACATAAAAAATCTTCGTTCATCAAGCACGTGAATTCTGATTGATTATGCTGTCGCAACTTTCGATAAAAGAGAATATGCTCACTCATCTTTCTTTGCGTTTTTTGATATGGAGCTCGAAACGCAAGCAACGTTAACCTCAGATCATCAAAAATCAGTTTTAATACTCACCTCACACCTTTCTTTATGAAATTACCTTCATAGTCCCTCTATCACAATAGAAACATCGCTGGTTTAGAACGAGTACAAAAATAAGTTAGTTGTTTGGTATGCTGCTCTAAAATATTCTATCATGTTGTGGCGAATTAGGGGTGGAATCGCCCCATATATCTTACCCTAGCTAAAGACTGATGCTCTCAAATGCTATCCCTCACCTGAATGGACTTCGTATAAATTCAGTCTATGAATAGAGGAATTCACGGCATCTACAGACGATTATGTTATCTTCCAATGAGTCTTCCAGAGAATGCTCAACATTCATTATCAGTTGAATGGATTTTTGGGAAACTACTCATGACTTTAGTTGTTGACTTAAACTTTTATAATATGTGTTCCAGTGAATAGTTGATATTCCCAATAGAGAGATCAGTTTTTGAAAGGTTCAGAGCTTAAAATGATTTTTTGATAAATGATAGGCAGTCATCCTGCATTCCAAATTTTGTTTATTTATATCAGTTTATTAACAGTGAATGTGAAACAAAAATACACTAAATTTAAAATCCCTATTAGGATTTCGTGCTTTGGTTAAATGGATTTAAACACGATGAACTGTGATTCAAGCTATTTATAGCTATGGGATATGAGAGTCCTATGTCACTTAAAATTGAGATAAACATAGAGAATGAACTCGGAGTTTTTGAGCCTCGAGATGATGTTGCTGGTCATATATTAATAAAAACTGAAGAAGATACAGAAATTGATAGTGAGTACATTCGGTATAATTTGCAAAGTATATTTTTTTTAATTTAAGGTATATTCATGTTTTGTGCTCGTCCAATCACTCACTTGAAGACTTAAATTTATACAATAGATTTTAATTTCAGTAGGACACATATCTTTCACTAAGCTTCATTTAAGTTAATTTACGTCATAACGAAAAACCAAGGTAGTGCTGTGGAAAAACGTTTTAGTTTTTTCTCTGAAAACGGATCATCCAGCAAACCGCAAATATAAATACCTAAATATTTGCTTCATTTTTCTCATCTAGTTCATTAAGTCGTATGAAACAACCAAGTGGATTAGTGTAAGAAGAAAAGAGCACGTTGAACACTGCTAGCATCATATTGAGTTTTGAGCCTTTTCTGAACGATACATTGTAGGTTCACATTCTTATTTCAGGTTGCATAAAGAAAGCTGTTGAACTGCAAAACTAAATTTAAAATCTGGCTATATTTATTAAAACAGCATATGATTTTCATCTTCGTGTGACAAATACAACGAGTAGATGACTTTAAATAGGTCTTAAACTGGCAGGATCATGATAATTGGTAGTATTTAAACCAATGTGTTAACTGAAAATTCCGAAATGGTACATCGTAAGGCAAGTAGAGCTAGATGAGAACACATGAATGTATCATATCTGAAATCCGTAGTAAAAGCGCAAACAAGTACATAGGAATCATCAGGTAGTATAGATGTCACAGGGATGCCGAATTTCAATATGAATCTGCCTACGAAAATTATAGCGGTGCAGTATATATACATCCTCTCTGACTAGTTTGCTTGTTAGCTCAGTGATTACTTTCAAAAAACATAAGTTTTTAAAAATAGCAGTTGAAGTGGACGTTGGCTGAAAGACAGGGGTATCTAAAACTCAGTTTAAACACCTGGGTAAAAATGTCGCCGTCTTTGACAAAAACATGTATGCTGAAGTTGCCGACACTTTATTCGTCATTTGGTAAAATAAAATATTTACTGGTCAAAGTTTTTATTTAACAGCAGTACAGAATTTTAATTATTAAAAAGGAGGAGGCTTTAACAGAGCATCTGAATTTTTAAGTGACAAACCTAGACTGAAGTATTCTTTTAAAAATAAACTAGCAAATTATCTTTTGTTCTGTAGTTATTGTACATTCATGTTTATGTTTGAACAGCTTTTGGGAGTGATTTCTTGTCTTTTTTAATGAACATTTTTTTTAGACTATCTTACAGTCGTAGTTATCTCAAAACGTTCCTGAATAAAATTCACTTTATATCTGTCAAATATAGAGAACAAAATACGGTGACATTTCTGATATTTTAAAATTAGTAAAACGGTTGATTTTAGATTTTAAAGTGATTACATCTACTCAAGAATGGTGTCTTAATTGCCTTACCAGAATACAAATCATCTCAGCTTCTCAAACACACTTAATGCTATTGTAAGCCATCATATAGTTATATATAAAGGATCCTGGTAATTGTGCTAAATCAGTACAATAAATTGACCTATAGGCAAATTGTAATTTAGAAGTTTTTGAATTTGAAGAGACGTTGAACTGTTCGATGTATGGTGCCAACTGTTTTGAAATCTAGTGTGATGTAGTAAGTCGAATTAGCTGATATGAAGTGGTTTGATCAAAATAACTCTCAGTTGTCAAATATTTTTGCCACTCTCTCCATATATCTTTTCACCTCTTTTGAGCAAACATTTCACTTCTTATCAGTTTTATGTTCAGTGCCTGTAAATTCAAAAATATGTTCGCATAGGATCTTCTTTTTTTGGTTATTTTTTATTTATGGAGTTTAATTATTTTACGACCACATTAATGAACGCCAATCCGTATATCATGTCCGTGCATGAATGTCTCACTGTCACCTGTAATCCTATTTTCGATTGGTAACTGATAGATGCTGAATTTTAGAATAACTATCTTGCTCATCCTAGGATTTGTCAAGTAAACCTAATCGAACAACAGGAAATATTTTTGCATTTTACTTAGACCTGAAGCTGGGACATGCCACTTAAAATATCAGTTCTAATTCAGTTTTGGGCAATAAAGCTGAAGAAGTCTTGTATCCTGAGTTCTATATTGATCATCATTAAGTGCAATGTACTCAGAGTTATAACTAGAATTCAAACCAAAACTTTTGTGTACATGGCAGCCCGTTTGAGCGCTTGAGGAATCCATTTCCCAACCATACTAGTAATAGAAGTAACCCACTTTTTTCAGATCTATTCAGACTAAATCATTATGAGTGGTAACCGTGTCTACTTACAACTTGTTACAAAAGGGTTATAAATTTTAAAAATACTAGTTACTGGGAGAATCAAACATAAACACTGACATATTTTCATTTTTACCTATCCTTTAAAACACAGAGAAAAAATGATTATGCAATTCAAGCACATTCTATATGTTAAATGGAAAAATAGTTGTAGTAGCTGGACTGGTAGGAAACGTTGATGATTAAATCAGGTTGGAAGATACTGATTCTTAAAAATATTTCCGAGATATATTTGGACAATTTTAATTTCAATGTATACTAAAGAGACATTTGCAGTAATCTTGTACAGTTGGTACTAAGGATTATTTACTGTGTTAAAATTCATAGTGTCGAATAAAACTATTAATAATATTATTATTATCACATCACTTTTATTATTGAAGGTAATGATTGTCTTTCGTTCAGATTGTCTCGTCTTGTTAACTAAATAAATAAATAATAGCAATAAAATGATAAAAATATTTCTTCATTTGATATAATTTAGATTTTGTTTGAATAGGATGATGAGTGATGAGAGAATGCTTGTGTGACATTAAGTGAAAAAGATATTAGATTTTAGAACGATATACACGAAACGTTACGAAAGATAGATTTTTAAAGAAGCTATCGAGTAATTCATACTTATAAAACTTCCAATAGTTCTAAATGTATTAGTTTAGTGTAGTGAGATAATCAGCACTATGGATATCGTTACTTGTTCAGTAAAAGTTTAATTATCTAGTTTCTCTCATGAAATAATAACCAAGATGGAACCTAGTGTTAGTGCATATTTTATTCGAATTGTAACAGTTTTAATAAAGCAGCAAAAATTTACAATTGTTTTACAACCGATTTAAAACCACTTAACATCGTATGGATTATCTTACTACTACTATTATTACTACTCAAATACTTTATGCATCAAACCCATCGAACTAAGTTTTCATCCCAATAAATCTAATAAAGGATAAATAAAAAATCAATACTTAATTAATCATTCAATCGAATTACTTCGAGAAAAAAAAAGATAATTGTTTAAAAAAAGTGGAAGATTCTGTAAGAAATATAAAAGAAATAGGAAAAATAACTGTTAATCAGTATTTATTAACCTTAACAAGTTTATCGATTCAGTAAGTCAACAATGACAATGAATAAAATTGATTGGTGTTTCCTTCTTTTTTTTCAACTTACCTTTTAATAAAAGACAACTTATGAGTTTAATATATAATTAAAAATAATACAGTTAGATTAGTAATTTGTTTTCTTATATTTATATAAATGAAAATAATGATTGAATTTTACTGAGATGAAAATGAAAGCAACTATAACAATAAAAAAGTAAACACATTTATTCAATAAGTCACTGAAAGTTAAAAATAAATAAGTATACATTATTTTATTTTTATCTTGATATGAACCTTAGCACTGAGAAGGGGACATATAAGTCCAGTCGATGAGTATCTAATAGGATGAAACGTGAGTTTTGGATTCTCTTGCTAGCCACAACCTATCGATTCTACTTGAAACATAAAAGTTTAGTGTAATTTATAGAAACTCAAGTTGTTGAGGTATCAGTTAGTTACTGTTATAGTCTTGTATGATAATGACAACCATTGTAGTGTTAGAAGTTATCTTTATCAGTAAGGTTTCTGATTAGTGTAAAGCGATTTTACCCAGGAGACATTTGAGAAGTTCTTGATTTTAAATGCGTATTTTGTATCAAATTTTGTTTATGTGTATATCTTATAGACTAAATTTTTTACGCCCATTTTTTCAAACCCCAACGAACGTTCGCAGAAATAGTGTTACCACTTAGACTCACGCGAAATGACGTGAATTGATTTGTTCAAATTTTAGAAGGTAATAATCTTTTCATTGAAATATATTAGAACATTTTGGAACGCAGTCGGGGTTTTCCCTACTCAAACATTTTAGTGACTTAAATCAGAAGTAGAGTTCGTGAGACTATTATTCCAAACTTCAATATCAGTACTGATAGTTTTTCAGCAATTTGTGATGTTTGTGTTTTACATTATTAAGCCACGTTGTAATTAGTCTCATACAACTAACTAACTAATAAGCATATTTTGTTTACTCTATTGTGTGAAACAACCACTTATTGCTTAAGTGATGAGGCCTGAACACTGGTATGGACGGTTCCCAACTACATGTAATGCTTTTTGGTATACTTTCAAAATTCATATCACTTAGTCATACTTTATTATTAATAAGAAACATAGGACCAGAGTATTTTTTACTAAACTATGATCTCATGTTAATGTTCTTCGTGAATTTGAAAATAAAGACTGGAGTTATCTCGTTGATGATACTTAAGACTGAATAACGCATCGATGTTTTAAGTGAGAGATGATGATTTCGAGTCTCATTGTAAGGATAAATACTAGGTTCCAGGTTTATCCAGATGACGTGTCCCAAATAGGTAGAAATGCACCTCTTGGATTCGATTGCTGGTCATAATTTATTTGTTTTAAATAAGCTTTATTTTATTTCAACTTCAAAGCTATTTTTATAATTTTTTGAAATTGGTTATTACGAAATTTGATTAACTATCATGATTGAAAACGTACGTGTATTCAGTAAAGAACTGAACATATTTTTAATTGAAGTTTGGTATTTACATGAAAGAATACTGTTACATGTGCCTATGAAAATTGCCAGTGATAGATTTCATAGAGTATTTATCGTATGACAGATTTTATACTTTACGACTTCTAC